ACTCAGACCTTGTCAAGATGGAGGCCTAGTTTCAGCAGCTGACATTATCAACAAGATGTATGTTTCCAAATTTGGAATCCCAGCGTCAAGAATCCAGTTTAAACACTGGTAAGTAAATTCCAGGCGAGGGGTGACGATGGTAGAATGTTAAACAAGACTGACTGACCTGTTAGCTATTGGCAACACGGGGAACGAGTATGTCGAGCAAATATCATTAGAGCAAAACTCTCGTAGCAAAACATGTTTACTTGACTGATAGTTCCAGGATGAATCCACATCTCAAGGTAGTTCAGGAGTGGGTGATAAATCTGGATTTGTCAAAATTGAAACTGACAAATTAATTGTGTTATTATTCAAGTTACATATGTTTAGAAGATTACACCGAATTAGGATGTTTGGTTTATTTCTATGTTTAATTACTGTGCGACATTATGCCAGAGGAGCCCCCGTAGGGAGATGGTGTCGTGTGTTGTACATGAGAGAGTGATCGGTTACATACACTTGGAGAAGGTTTACATTTCAGATATCGTCATTTGTGGTTTTTTGGTGCAAATCCATATTTGCCTTTCATTGTACTTTCATAAACACCATTACCTAATGAAAATTATATTTAAAACATTGTCGGTGAACAGACTGACTGACTGACTGACTGAATTAGTTTTACGCCGCTTTTAGCAATATTCCAGCCTTATCACGGCGGGGACACCAGAAATGGGCTTTACACATTGTACCCATGTGGGGAATCGAACCCGGGTCTTCGGCGTGACGAGCCAACGCTTTAAAAACTACCCCACCACCCCTTCGGTGAACAGAACATACGAATATTCTCTAATTCAATTGTTACAGCTGGTGTCACCTGACGTTGTAACCTGGAAATCGGGAGTTCCTTAACTTCCTTCGAGTAGTATACACATCACATGACGCCACCCGTGAAGGTCAAGGTTAGAATGAACCTTCAGCAACCCGACGACTAACGGGGTCGGGTGGTCAGGCTCGCTGACTTGGTTGACACATGTCATCGGATGCCAGTTGCGTAGATCGATGCTCATGCTGTTGATCACTGGATTGTCTGGTCAAGACTCGATTATTTACAGACCGCTGCTATATAGCTGGAATAAAACTAAACTCACTCACTCACATGACGCATTTTCAGTATTTCAATACGCATGTTCTGTAAACAACAAACAAATGTGTATCATCGAAAATTTGGTATAATATACTAGAAATTATATTAACCTGGCGCTTTACTTTTCAAGGTATATGTATCATAGACGTGGAGACACATAACGTCTGATGAATGGAGATTTTGTTAACCGCCACATCCAAATATCATCACACACAGGGGCGGTGGGGTAGCCTAGTGGTTATGTAAAGCGTTCGCTCGTCACGCCGAAAACCCGGGTTCGATTCCCCACATGGGTACACTGTGTAAAGCCCATTTCTGGTGTCCCCGCCGTGATAAGGCTGGAATATTGCTAAAAGCGGCGTAAAACTAAACTCACTCACTCATCATGTGGGGTAGTAAAACCATTGTGTCGATACGGATCGCCTATTTACATCGCTCTAGTTAGTACGTGAGTGGTGATTTTAGTTTTGCCACCCTATTGGTAAGATTCCAGGAATTTTAAGGAAGGTGGATACCAAAACTGGGCTTCACATACTGTATTGATGTCGCGGCAATGGTGCTAGAGGCGTTCTGCAAGTCACCTATACTGACGATGTTCAATAGAAAGGATTCGGGTTCTTTCCTTGACCTTTTTCATCATAACTCTAGACCATTCCCATATCTATCTGTATAGCCGTTGTCTTCCTACTCCCATCAAAAATGCTTCATCCTTAGAAGCATTCAAATCGGGACTCAAAACCTTCCTCTTCAAAAAAGTCTTCAACTGCGAAATATTCTCATGGTCATTTTGACGAACTGTCATATCTTCGTCATGAACTCTACTGACTCTTTTTATATGTAGCTCTTTGAGCATGCTCTGGGTGGACTATGGCGCACAAGAAATATCCATTTATTATTATTATTATTATAAAGGTAGTAGACATCACATAAGTATTCTAATTGCCATAATACCGAAGCACATAGTATCTCAATCTCCGGACAGTATGTAAACAAATAGAGCCAATATCTCAAACACATTTAAGACTGGAGAGAGCTCTCTTTAACATAAACAAACATGTCAGTACGTCCCACGATTAAGTCACTGACGATAGATGGAGAGTCTCCAGTATTTGGGAAAGGGGGTTACAGAGGAAGGTCGTGAGTAACTCCCCAGTGTCTTAAACCACCTGAGTCAAGAAGAAATACTAAAAATCTGCCTATGGTGGTGTTGAATTAGTACATTCGAATATGGTGGTCGCTAGCCTAGCCTTATAGCTGACTCAGACATACTCATCTGGTTAACAGTGAAGTACCACAGCCACCCCACTAGAACCGAAGATAACTAACAATTCTGATCAAATGAAAAATAGAAAGGATTTTACGAAGGCGTATAAACTGTGTTTTTGTTCCTTAAAATGTCACGTTGGTTAACTTTTGGTTGTTAAGGGTTGCAAAAAGGTTGCCTCCGGTCTGATTCTTGAAGCTTTAGAAGCTGGCCGTAGTGTGATCTAAATGGTCGCGTGGCGTGGCTACTGATAGAAAATTCGAGAACTGTGAAATAGGTATATAAGGATTGGTTGCTGAGATGCTCGACGACTTTGGGGAACTATTTTGGATTTACGCTCATCTGTCTGCTAACATCGCCCGCTCAAGTCACGACACCTCACATGCGTGATATTTGCGCATGCTTTTCAGCAATTTGATGCATGATCCTCGTGCAATTCATCTGCATAAGATTTGCAGTTGGTACCCCCAAGTTAGTTCAGAAGTCAATCTTCGAGTGAGTGAGTGAGTGAGTTTAGTTTTACGCCGCTTTTTGCAATATTCGAGCAATATCACGACGGGGGACACCAGAAATTGGTTTCACACATTGTACCCATGTCGGGAATCGAACCTGGATCTTCGGCGTGACGAGCGCACGCTTTAACCACTAGGCTACTCCATCGTCCCTCAGTCATCGATGTAACCATATATATATTCAGAACATATATAGTGAGTGTTTTCAGTGAGTGTAAACTTTTGATGGGAAGTATATAATTGAATGTTATAGACTTGTTATAGAATCGTAACAAAAGTTCCAGCCGTATCACAGCGGGGGACACGAGAAATGGGCTTCACACATAGTACCCATGTGGGGATTCGAACCCGGGTCTTCGGCGTGACGAGCGAACGCTTTAACCACTAGACTAGCCCACCGCCCCCTGTTCACTGTGGAAGGGCGTTATCTCTACAATTGGCCAAGTGTAGTACAAGGGAGACAACTCTCGCAAATGCATTCATGTGTGAGTGATTCGCAAATGAGCGCCCCGCTGCTACTACCACCACCACCACTACTACTGCTGCTGCCTCTACTACTTACGGGACCATAACAACTCTCCGAATGCTTAACAATTTTTGACCTTATTTCGGACACACTATGAACATTATCTCTTTATGAAGTTTATATTCAACCATTTCTTCGAAGTAAGCGTCGTTGTAAAGACCCACATGAAATCAACTGATTTAGCTGACAGAGGTTCAGCCTTGCACTGCCTCAGCCTTTCAGGTTAGAATTAATGGAGACTACTAGGTGATATTTTAGTATGTCATTTCTTTACTTCAATGTTGAAAATCTTTAAGCATTGGAACATTAACTATAGTCCGTTTGATTTCATTTGAGACCGATGAACTGCTCACTAACACAAAAACTGATAAATGCAACAAGATCAAACTTTGCAGTCACATGAAATCGACAGACCAACTCTGATGATTTGTCTCATAATTTTGGACACCCGAATAAAAAAGTTGTTTAACAAACCGTCATTATTTTGTTGTCACTTTTCGCTATTTCTTACGAGGGAGTGCCGCTTGCTGGTAGAACAGCCAGGTGTGCGAGTTGCACCTATGAAATTGAAATTTCACTACACACACTTGTTGATTACCTGGCTGCTCTACCAGCAAGTGGTCCTCCCTCGTAAAAAAAGCGAAAAGTGACAACAAAATAATGATCGTTTGTTAAACAACTTTTTATTCGGTGGAATAAATCAAGTGACCAAGTCTGACCACCTGACCCATTTGTTCACCTCTCCGGACAAGCATGGATGTCTCGGGAAGTATTCCGACCCAGAATCCCATGCTAGGGGATGTATGCAGTAAACGCAGCTTACTTTATGAAAAGTACGAGCATAGTATGGTGCTGACAAGACTATGCACACACCTGCATGTGAAGGGCTGCGTCATCTGAGGGCAAGGATGGTCGACACCTTACACTACTCTCCCACCCAGGAGTTTAACGCTGCTTCATAGTTTTTTCAGTTGTTCAAAAATAGAAACTTACCATAGAAATCGTACTGTTATTGGAGAGGGCTGGTTGGGTAACCTAGTGGTATTAAAGCAAGACTTAAAACGTCTTGGACACATTCACACAGTAAAACCTCAAACAAAACGTATGTAAATTACTTGAAACATATATGTCCAAGATATTCACCTGATGAAGGGACCTGGAATGGCCTCGAAACGTCGTGAGAGAAATTAAAAAGAAGTTTAATCCATAAAAATATCTTGGACATCAATGTACAACTTCTAAATGCCACTGAAAGACATTGAAACATATAGTTCTGTTTGAGAGCAAAGTCCTTGACAGAGTGTTAAAAGTATTTTAGTTTGATGACCACAGGTAGCCTTGTAGTCAAGGTGTTTGCCGATGATCCGGGTTCGATTCCCCACATGGGTACAACGTGTGAAGCCCATTTCTGGTGGAATATTGCCAAAACTAAACTCACTCACTATGACCACAGGATTAAAACAAAGGGGAGAATATGACAATAAATAATGGATGAATGTCATATGATAATGCAAGCTGTCTGAGCATGTGATGTGCCAGATATTGACAGCCATGTGACCGGCGCGTGTTGACACGGGTATATAACGATTGATGTCCTCAGTCCCGTCCTCTCTGTGTAGCGCTGCAGAGTCGATATGTCGAAGATCTCGCTGGTCGCGTGTGTGTTGATGGCCGTTGGGGCCTTGGGGCAGCTCCCGTCTCCCTGTATAACACCACCCCAGTTTACGGTCAGTACAGTACCCTCCTCCAGCACCCTGTACAACACCACCCCAGTTTACGGTCAGTAAAATACCCTCCTTCAGCACCCTGTATAACACCACCCCATCTTCCAACCCCGTGTTCTTCTCCTTACCTCCCGGTCAGTACAGTACCCTCCCCCACCACCCCATCTTCCATCACAGTTCACGGTCAACACAGTACCCTCATCTACCACCCTGTGTAACTCCACCCAAGTTCACCTTAAGAACAGATTCGAATTCTCTCCAACCCTTTCCTAAGGCAACGCCACCCAGGGTCGTGATCGGTACAGATCCTTAGCCTCACCTCCCCTACAAAAATGTAATTTTGATTTTTTTTGCCGGCAGAGACTGATTTGTTCAAATCGTAATTAGCTGGATTTTGCTTTTGCGAGAATCCTAATGTTTTTTAACTGTTTTACAAAACAGTGCCATTAATCTTGTACCGTTATGATTATGTGTTTGCACGACATCCCATGTGTAGGGACCATCAAGGTCGTGGGTATAAACAGTCAGCTGTAAACCAGGTGTGACCTGATAACGGTGCACTAGTGTAATATGATACCAGGATAACGGTAGTTATTAGTATTCTCTTAGGCAATACTCCATTGTTATATTCGAGCCAGGGTCTTCTCGAACATCGTACCCCATTGTTATGTCCGAACCATGGTATTCTCGAATACCGTACCCATTGTTATATCAGAACCATGGTATTCTCGAATACCGTACCCATTGTTATATCAGAACCATGGTATTCTCCAACACCGTACCCATTGTTAGATCAGAACCATGGTATTCTCGGACACCGTACCCATTGTTAGATCAGAACCATGGTATTCTCGAACACCGTACTCATTGTTATATAAGAACCATGGTATTCTCGGACACCTTACCCATTGTTATATCAGAACCATGGTATTCTCGGACACCGTACCCATTGTTATATAAGAACCATGGTATTGACATCTCCTCATGCACAAGGTCACAAATACCCTTTGTACGTTTAAACGGAGAGATTACAAAGTATCAAAAAACGAGAACATGTTCATGGCAACCAATGAGCAAACCACGGTTATAATAAACACTATTTAATGAAGACACTATTTATTCTAGTTCGTTACATGCATTTCGACTGAAGTTTACAGCAAGTGGCAAGAAGAAGCAAACATGTATCTCAAATTCGTTCGTGTTCATCAGTAGTTGGAGTGCAGGCTCTCAAAAAGTTCAAAGGTGTGCGTAACTGATCACTTCACCTTCAACTTGATTAGATTATGGTGGACTTCGGGCGTCCGGTACATGCATTGTGAATGGCCATATCAGTAGTTGAAGTGTCCCTGTCGCTGATTATGATCTCAACGACATCCTTCTTGATTCAAAACCTCATTAACCAGAGGAATTTGAAAATGACAATGAAACTGGGAATAGACAAGCCTCATAATTTGCAATTATAAGTTTTTTTCAAGCATTAACGTTACGTTTTACCTTCAGCAATCCATGCTAGCCTTTAGCCGCGACTAACAGGATCGGGTGGTCAGGTTCTCCGACTTGGTTGACACATGTCATCGTATTCTCATGCTATTGATCACCGGATTGTCTGGTTCAGACTGTGTTATTTATAGACCACCGTCATATAGCTGGAATATTGCTGAGCGTGGCGTTTGACAAAGAAACAAAGAAGCAAGCAATATTGTTGAAAAGTCTCTTTGAGCCAGTGTATGAAATAAGCCAAAACCCCAACCAGTCATCTGGGCTGGTAACTTAAAAACTTACCAGGCCAGAATAGATTTAACCAGTCCTCCTTAAATACTAAATAGACAGTGCCAGTGGACACGTTATCTGAATATTTTTTTCACCCGTCCATCGGGCTGGCTAGCTGTAAAATTTGACCGTCCGGCAGAAATCTAGCCCGTCTCGGGCGGTCGGACGGGCTTTATTTCATACACTCTTTGAGCACGAGGAACAAACTTGATATCGGATTCATGTTGTTTTTTTAACGATTTTACGAGAGCCTCCGAAAGAACTGACGCCTCGGTCGGTCCGTGATGTCTCCCTCGCTTTATCTGTCGCATGTATTTCTTACAGTTCCGGGGGATGGAGATCAACCACGTGGATGACGTGATTCGCCGCTTCATCATCGGCTACGACGCCACCAACAAGAGGAGGGTGATGTTCGAGGAGGAACGCGAGATCATCCCAGGCCGACAGTGAGTTGTGTTTACTCCTCCCAGTCAACTTCTGGTGAACGCAGGGCCCACGGTCTGTACATCCTCAGTCTCATGTTCTCCGGTTCCTCCTCCTCACTGTCGCTGTGACTCTCTCATGTCGGGGAATCCCGTATCTCAAGTCTATATCAAATGAACTGAATTATTTCCAATGGTGTTAAACGGAGAATTCTAAAAGTATTTTATTCATTAATTCCATCGATGAAGAATATATGCTGAATAATATTTTTACTGCGGCCATACCAAAATAACAACATATTTCGTGTTGGGAAGTGATGTTATTGACTTATATGACTCTTCTTCTATGGTAGGTGGTCGGTGGGGTAGCCTAGTGGTTAAAGCGTTACCTCGTCACGAAGAAGACTCGGGTTTGATTCCCGACATGGGTACAATGTGTGAAGTCCATTTCTGGTCTTCACCTCCATGATATTACTGGAATATTGCTGAAGGCGGCGTAAAAACTAATCTCACTCACTCATTCTACAGATTGCACGAGTACTTGGTCCTCAACAACGACAATGTGGCGTACGACTTCAACATGAAGACCAAGGAGTGTACCAAGTCCGTTCCCGCGACGTGGAGGGACTTTGGAATCCCCCCTAACGCTACCTTCGAGAACGAGTACTACATCGGGGGCCCAGGGGAGGAGGTGTACGCCCAGGAATGGTCCGACAGGATTCCATTCAGACAAAGTAAGGGTCCCTGCTGTTCTTGGGGGGATGGGGATGTTTTTTAATTTTTTTAAAGACAGGTTGTGTTTTGGTTACTGCTTCAAAAACACAAAAATATCATGGCAACACACTTTTCCCCAGGATATCCACCATTACCAGCGAAATATGCATTTGAAGGTAATACATGAGATATTTTTTTCGTTTGGTTAACAAATGTTTGCTCCTTCAGAGAAGCATATCAAACACAACGTTGTCAGTTAAAAAAAGACGACTTGCATGTTTGATACTATGTTCAAATGATGGCTTCCGATTATTTTCATCTTTCAAGAAGGAAGTACAACAGATGACAAATCTTGCTTTATATCCTAGTCTGTCTCAAAGCCCTTAACAAAGGAGTCCAACTCCAGTCTAGAATGATTGGGCAAATCCAAACATTTAAATTGAACAATGTTCAGGGCTCCCCTCAGATATTATTTCTTTTTTATTTTGTGGAGATATATTTTATACGACATTACTTAATTTTATTCATAACTAACCTTGAGGCATGGTTCTGATGTAAGTAAGGTCAATTTCTAGCGATCCATAAATGGATGTGCAGTTAATTTCTTGGATTGTCTGGTCCAGACTCAATTATTCACTGACTGCCACCGACTGGAATATTGCTGAATATTGGCGTTTAAAACAAACTATTCCCTGCTGCCGGATGTTACATGTTGATCAGAAAGGGTGACAGCAGATTTAAATGATTCATGTAGAGTTTTGCTGGTTCACGTCACAACTTGTCAAGTGTGCCATCAGTATTAGAAACAAAACAACTCGAATCAGTGTGAAACTCAGAAGTAATCATTCATCCGTCCATCGGTTTCTCTTAAATACGTTGAGGGTACGTAAGTCCCAAAACTTTCAAAGTTAACTTTTTGCTTACCCGATTTTTAAACGTAGTATATTTGTTCATTTAAATTTTGGCTAAACTTGTCCTACAATCGCCAGCTGCTGAAGGGATGGTGTAAATCCAACTAGGGTCCATGCAGGTAGCAAAAGTAATGTAAGTCCCCATGGTTCCTAGTATGGTGATCTACCTTCAGTTGTTGGCGATCTATAACCCGTTTTTATATTGTATTGTCATTTAAAAGTAACATATTTTAGTTTAATTACTAGTTTTACATACATATCTGTGATATTCTAGTTGTTTTACTGTCCTTCGTCGGCAGGTTTTTTATAATATACATATATTTCATTTCAATATCGAATGTTCTCGTCACGATATGGCTGAAATATTGCCGATGTGACGTTAAATATTAACTCACTCACTCACTCACTCACTCTTAAATACGTTGGGTAGAGTTGTATCCCTTTGGGACAGTTCATAATTTATTACTAGGGGGTGATGATTATTTTAAGTGGGGGTCACCATTTGGTTCTGGGAAGCTAGGGGAGTCATCAATTTTGTACACACATACTAGGGCGTGGGGGTGTCAGCAATTTTGTACATAAAAGTATGCTTAAAATTATGCTTAGAAATTATAGGAAGGAGGGGGCATTGATTTTGTACATGACATGCAGGGGTCACTTATTTGTACATTTAAAGAAAAATTTTTCTATTTTATTTTATTTATTTATTTATTTATTTATTTATTTATTTATTTATTTATTTATTTATTTATTTATTTATATATTTTTTTTTTTATTTTATTTTTATTTTTTTTTTTTTTTTTTGGGGCATTCACATTGTATATGCTTCTCCATAAAAATCATCATCACCCCTAGCCATAAATTATGAACGGTCCCTTAGCTGTAAAGATCAGCTGGTTCTAATTCCAGATTTCACAGATGGTTATCCTCAGTGTACTAGAATCATCCATACTTGGTTTAAATGCTGTTATTAAATTGCAAATTGCTTTGTTAAAGAGACTAGAAATAGCTTAGATTTTTTTTATTTATTTATTATTTTTTTTAATATATCTCATTCGCGTGCTGCAATTCGCCGCACAGAGTTGTGTCCCTTAGACCAGTGCGGGAAGCAGATAATCGTTGTTTCATTTTGTTATTCACTCTAATTGTTTTCTGCTTCGTCAGTATAATGTCCATGTGGTGTATCAAGCCGCGGCATTGTTCAAAGAGGCTATAAACACATTTCATTAACTTCCTGTACTCTGTAAACCGTCCTCCCCCTATTCACCACGGAAACCGTGTCTTTCAGGGGAAGCATGGCTGGGATCTTTTACACTCAACGGCTGTTACCCCATTGATTCTCTCATCATCGGGCCGGAGGAGACTCCAAACGACACCGTCACCATGCGCTTCTACGACATCGTTGACGGCATCCCCGATCCCAACGACTTCATCCCCCCTCCCGAGTGCCTGCAGGCTAAGTGGGGAGTCTCGACCATACCCTCATACTGGTAGAGGGCGCCACTAGACACCGGGAGTTACCTCCCTTAGGTGTATTGGTTGCCGCCATTCTCCGTTGTATTGAGTGTACCAAATGGTCCTAAGACCGCTCTATATTTAGATGTTAATTATACTAAACATGTTTTCATATACATTTATTTTGTGTCACAATTTTTAAAATCTGAACGAGTGTACTTTGAGTGAATTATTTTTGATGCCATCACTTACTTAAGTAGTTATCTCCCTTTAAGTAATCCATTTAATGATATTTTCTGTAAAATGTCCATATTTTTACTGAAGCATCTGTAATGGCGTTCGTCACATGAAACATCTCACGTGTGTCTTTCAGTGCCAACTTTATCTGTTCGTGATTTCTAGTCGAACACATTTACATACTAGTGTGATAACTATTGCAAAACGGTCATCAAGGGCAAGAACTGTGATAGTATTACACCAGCTGCGATCCATCCCGAGCAGTTCACACGTTCTCGAACGGTTCACCGCGAGCACTCGAGCAAACACACACACTCACGTTCACGTGACTGTCATTATGACTATCACGTGACTCGACTGGCAGGTACCTGTGCAATACTCGTAACGTAGGTCATTGAGTTGACAAGGATTATTTGATTAATGTTGATTGTCTTGTTCGTCGAGATACCTCCTACAGCAATTAGATTGAATTATTATAAGTGTAGAACGTATATATTTCAGATTCATATTATATTTAGCTATCACAACCCCCGCTTCAAGTCGCCACCCACTACGGCCATGTCCCGAGATCACCTGCAACCGATCGTGTTTGTCTTTGACTGTTTGTCACCTGTGACATATGACAAAACAACTGACGGTTGTTGATCCCCGCTAATGTAGCCAGCCTCACGAACTGCATTTAGTGAAATCTTTCAGCGAATGTGCAATTTATTGCTATTGTGACAACAATGTTCGTTATTTTTGCTTCTCTCAGAAATAAAACTATTTTCAGAAAACTTTTTCTGTTTTCATGAACAAGTTCGATATGCCACAAATAAAACACAAACAATATAAGCTATTTCAGAAATCTGTTTCTATGTTCATGAACGTGCCACAAACAAAACACAAACAATACAAGCGTGAGAGAAACAAACAGAGATGGCGTGTTACAATTATTCTGTAACAAGACATGTCACCATTTGTCAGTAGACAAGGTTCTCGAAGTTTAGTTCATGTCCAGAAGGTCGCTAGCCTTGTCTGGTCCAGATATACCCATCTTGTTCACACTGAAGTGCCACAGCCACCCCACTAGAACTGAAGACCAGTAACAATTCTGGTCAAATGGAAAATATGCAGGTCGTAACGAAGGGCGAAAGGAAACATACAGCCAGGTGTGATCTAGGTTAACAATGAAACAAACGTAAATGACGATGTATTTGATGCAGGTGTCATAGATGTGTTCTGAAATCCAGGTTGGCAATGTTTACACTACATCATTTAAACAAGTAACGTTTCACTAACATTTGAGGCATTTTGATCAAGTATGAGAATAAAGTGTATATTTTCTCTTCAGCATTTTTGCCATGCTGTCAAGGTCAGTGAATGTGGCCTACCAAACGTGTACATGCTGCGTAAAAGAAAGTTCATTCACGGATGAATTACGTTTACTCTGTGGGGTCCAGAAGTTGGTAATACACTCCTTCTGGATGGACTGATGCTTTCTTACCCGTTACTGGGGCGGTGGGGTAGCCTAATGGTTAAAGCGTTGGCTCGTCACGCCGAAGACCCGGGTTCGAATCCCCACATGGGCACAATGTGTGAAGCCCATTTCTGGTGTCCCCGCCGTGATGTTGCTGGAATATTGCTAAAAGCAGCGTAAAACCAAACTCAATCAGTCAGTCAGTCTTACCCGTGACTGGAATATATGCCGACTGTTTCTACCTAATCGTAATCAATGTAATACATACTAATATACTACAAGTACACATATACCACCGACACCAACACATGTCAAATAACTGAAGTTCACCATAGAAGGCATCATCGATAATCTCCAGTGTATACGTATAATTATCGGGCCGAGCCGTAGATACATCCAGGGCACTAGTGGAGATTTATCGGAACGTATACCATGGAGATTATCGAGGGTACGTAGAAGGGCAGTATCGCCACAATTGGCCCAGTATAGTAGAAGGGAAACAACTCTCGCTGAGGAAGGGCAGTATCGCCACAATTGGCCCAGTATAGTAGAAGGGAAACAACTCTCGCTGAGGAAGGGCAGTTTCGCCACAATTGGCCCAGTAAAGTAGAAGGGAAACAACTCTCGCTGAGGAAGGGCAGTATCGCCACAATTGGCCCAGTATAGTAAAAGGGAAACAACTCTCGCTGAGGCGACTTCGTGATTGCATTCATATGTGAATCACAAAAATGGACGCCCACCACTACTACTATTACTACAGAGACTAGTACTACAGCTGCTACTACTACCACCACCACTACTACTACCACAAGTACAAACAACCACTACTACTAGCACGTCCCGTGAAGATCCGGGTTAGAAATGATCTTCAGAATATCAGGCTTGTCGTAAGAGGCGACTAACGGGATGTTGTGGTCAGAGTCACTGACTTGGCTGACACGTGTCATCGGTTCCCAATTGCGTAGATCGATGGTCATGATGTTGGTCACTGGATTGTCGGGTCCAGACCCAATCATTTTCAGACTACCGGCATATCGCTTGAATATTGCTGAGCACGGCGTAAAACAAGAAACAAACAAACTACAAGTACAACAACAACTGCTTCATCTACTATTACTACTCGTCATAATTACGGGACCATAATAACACATCGTATACCCAGCAATCACATTTGACTTTATCTTTTTTACCACATCCTGTTATGATGTATATTTGCAACCTTGTCATTGACATATGTGACGTCATCAAGACCGACAGGGAATCAATGGATTTTGCTTTTCAAATAGCTACCTTGCACTTCAAATTAGAATATTAGGAAACCAGGGGAATAGTTCAGTATGCCATGTCTGTACTTCACAGTTGAACCCTTCTAAATTTGGGAACATAAAATATCCATACATGCTCCAATGTATACGAATATGTCAAACAATGTTCCCAAATCTGCAGTTACCGGAGCCCTTACCACCACCAAGAGATCTGGGAGCATCCCCCGTCAGGTCGCGTCGGCGCAATCTTTGACCGACCAATGAAATGACTAACAGGAAGTGAACATTAGCCAATGACAAAGCAAGGAAGGATAACACGATAACGCTGTATTTAAATAACTTCTCAACTACAGTGAGAGCGATGTTTCGGTGTCAGTTCTAACACCGTTGTCAAGCAAGTGTGTCAAGCAAGTGTGTCAAGCAACGTAGTTAAAGTACTGTCGGAAATAGAAAGAAACCTGTTTTTCAGATTTATATCTACAATTTATGTAGTTAATATGTGAAAGTGTGAAATATTTGTTAAACTAAGTTCGGCCTAACTAAAGTCTCAATGGTAGGGATATAGGAAACGTAAAAAGGGACTGTAGTGAGTAGTGCTGGTATTGGCATACAACCTGCGATACGATACATCACGATACTAAAATTTTAGTCACGACGATATATTGCCAAAGTATTGTGCACTGAAGCTACGAATCCCGATATAAGGGTGACGATACGATACGTGTCACGATACTAAAATCTTTAATTCTAACATCAACTATAAAACACCTCAAGACCAAAACCATTTTAAAGTATTTCGTCAGATTCCACCAGCGTTGTTCAATGTTCATTCGGAAACGAGATAATTACGTTTATACACGGACATGCGAGCGCTATGTCTGACACAGTTCTTGACGCAAGAATTTCCGATAAAACGTTTACTAATGAAGGGAAAATAAGTAAACATATACTTTAAACATCGCTGTATCGTGGCCCTTTTGAAGTATCGTATCGGGATATACGACAATGTAAAACTTTGTATGGATTCACTGTATCGGCGGCCCTTGGATTGATGCATCGATGCGTATCGATGAATCGTCACACCACTAGTAGGGTGTGGAGCAGACCTGGGGTCAAGTGATGAGTGGGAAAATAAATAAGCATATACTTTAATCATCAAACAAAAGTAAGTCTTTTTTATTGACTGACTGAATTTGGTTTTACGCCGCTTTTAGCAATATTCCAGCAACATCACGGCGGGGGACACCAGAAATGGCTTCACACATTGTGCCCATGTGGGGATTCGAACCCGGGTCTTCGGCGTGACGAGCCAACGCTTTAACCATTAGGCTACCCCACCGCCCCTTTATTGACAGATATCCCGATTCGGCAATATGCAGAGTCAAACATCGATATATCGTGGCCCATTTAAAGTATCGTATCGGGATATAACGACAATGTAAAACTTTGTATCGATTCATTGTATCGGCGGCCCATGAATCGATGTATCGATGAATCGTCACACCAGTACTGAGGAGAAATTAGTGCGGAAAGGAGCAATGCTATGAAGTCCAAAGCGACTTCGTGTGCGAGGATATTGTATTACAAAGGACACTTTTTAAATGCCCAGCTAGATACCACCAATCTTCCGTACCATCAGGGAAGAGATACCATTAATGTATCTAGAACAACTCTTATCAATGCTCTCAATGGAATGAAACAAGTGGAGATGATTGTGGAGTGTTTCGTGAAAAGTATTCAATAATTACTCTCAGGTCAAACTCTCTCGGAAGCATGGTCGAATACCGGGAGTTGGGTTTTCAGATAGTATACATCAATGAGACCTTGGTGAACAAGAATCACTCCACGGATTACATGTGGCTACCGACAGATGGTACATGCAACAAGGCCCTAACCATTCCATCTGGTAAAGGTAAACGCCTCATCGATCGTTCTTCACGCTGGTACACGTGATTCTGGTCTCGTTGAGGGGTGCGAACTCAGCTCCTACCCCGCCTTGACAATCCTTATGGATAACGCCAACTATCATAAACTCTGTGTACCGGAAACAGTGACCCCCACCATGAATTACCGTAAGGCTCAAATGCAAGAATTTCTGACCTCGTGCAAGGTGTCTTTTAGACAAGCAGAAACCAAAGTACAGCTCATGGAGATTATCAGACAGCACAGGAAACCTATAGTTTACAGATCAGACACGTTAGCACAGCAGCATGGCCACGTTGTCTGACTCCAGTGAGACAATGTGAGCTGAATCCGATTGAGCTGACCTGAGCTAACTGTAAGGGCTTTGTAGCCAGTCACAAAACGTTCTTTCGGATGTCCGATGTCAAATATCTTGTCCTTGCATCTTTGGCAGAATTACATGAGTAGTATTTAGGCAGCACGTGCATTTCGTGCCAGGTGACTCGATGGGGCGTCGTCGTACGTGGCTGAGCGACCTAATTGCCATCTATAGTCGTTTATCATGCGACCAAAGAAAGTTAGTCGAGATTCGTTTAGTTGTCAACGTTTCAACGTAAGGAACCAACAAAATGTCAACTAATTGTTTCCTTGGCAAATTGATACATAATTCATATTGGTAATAGGTATCCAACTTAGCAACTATCATTTCGGAACCTTAATTTCATAAAAGATCAAGATCGAGCTCGTGAAACATATAATTTTATATATTGTTTGATTGTGCATCGATCAACGGACGGAAATATTACGTAAATCGCAACTGAAAATGAAAACATCAATGATTTTAGGTATAAAGTCATCAGTAATCCGAATTGCATTACATTTGATATTTTCCCACAAAACTGTCAAAATTGTATAATTCCCGACAATTTGCTTTCAAACACATGCCAGATCGCCTCGTTTGGCCATACCCGGACATGCGCACAATTATCGCGCGCTCAAAGGCAGCGGATCGTTGTCAGTTTACTTTGGCAAAATTCAACGCAATATCGTTCTATTTTCATCTTCACGGCATGCTGGTGTTTATTTGGTAAGTATGTCCTTCATGTATAATGAAAACGTAGGAATGTTGTTTAAATCTAGCAGGTCAATG